GGGCATGAATTGACTGTGATACTCAAATGCCTACATATTTCTTGGATCTGTTCCTCTGAGAGCTTTTGGATTTTGCCACATTGGCCATTCTCTGTTATTTGCCTTTTGATTTCATCTATTCATATAATGTTATGATGGGCAGTGAAATTCTAGGATGCATACCAATCTGTTCTAGGAACAAAATCCCATCTTCAAAGAGATGTGGGAAGTATGCAATTTACAATATGTATTGAAGAGTGCCACTGAACGTTCTGTGAGTTAATATTAAGAAATGTTGAAAAGCTAGAAATACATTCTGTATCACCTAAATTTCTAAGCTTTGTGTCTTAAAAGAAATCTTGTAAAGAAGAATATTATTAATTTATAATTTAAAGCAAAACGTGAGAAGAATATGATTACCATAATTTACAGCAGTTCACTAACTATGAACATGCTTGCTTGAGATTGTTCCACAGCTAAGTGAAGGAGACATCCATCAGTTTGCTGTGATACTTGTTTTTAAAAAATGAAAGTCATGGGTTGCAGCCATGTAGCAGAGACCCACAACACGCATATAGAAATAACCAGTGAAGTTACAGAATATACAGAGAGATTTTGTCGCAAATTTAAGAAGAGTTTCAACAAAAATCTTACTTATTAGTCATGAAAATAGCTTGTGACTGCTTGTGGCCATAGTAGTTGCACTTCAGAATTACTGGCTTGAAAGTTATTATTACTGGATTGTCATCTCCTAGGATGACAGTGAATGGGTTTGGATCTGATTTCAGGTGAACATTCTGCAGCATTGCAGGTGTTGTTTCTCAGAATATTTTGTGCTTTATTTTTGTGAAGCTTATTCTATTAAAGGTACATACTTTTTTTAGGAGAGAAAGAAGGAGATAGGACTGGCAAGAAAAAACTCTTTGATGTCACAGAACTTCAGGATGCTGATGAAGATGATATCACTACAGCCAATAATACATTGTCATCACAAGTGAATGGCAGTAATGACAACTTCATAAAGATACTCACAAGTCTACTTGATAGCACGGTAACTACCTACTTGTGTAATTGCACACTTCTATAACCAAAAATTCTAAAAGAAAACTGAAACTTTTTCCCCCCCAATCTATATTTTCCTGGGTATATTTGTAGCTGTTTATGGTATGTATGGTTTATTTAATGGCACAGCTACTAGTTCAGACTGTGTAGTATGAGATGGTATGGTGATTAGTAAATAAGTAATTGGAGTGGGTCATGATGTAATTTGAGATATTACCCCCTTGCTTGGATGGGCAGGAAAACCACAATAAGCCTTAGGACAGATGTTCTCTGTGCCAGGTGTAGTTGACATCGTATCATTCTATTACAATTTTTTATACATGATTAATTTCATTCTTTATCCACATATTTTCCTGCTGCAGGGCATTTTGGTCTTGTCAGAAAATGCTTGTCTTTGCCCCAAAAAGCTTTTCCTGACCATTCATTTACCCTACATGTTAATGTCTCCCATTTCTATATTATATTTAAGCATCATGTTGCACTCTACGCTTCTATATGTATAATATTGTGACGTGCTGCGCTATGGAGGACACCCTCCACTTCATGTGTGCTGCAGCAAGAAGTTGAGTGCATGAATTAGTAAGAGCACTATAAATGCTTGAACTAATGATTTATAAGTGTTCAGTAAATCCATAGCCAATCTAAACTTTGTGTCTAGTCACCAACATGTGACAATATTCACTTCTGTGAATTATATTTTTCTTGATGTTAATACAGTAAAATTTGGTTATAGCAACATCGGTTTCTGCGACACCTTGTCTATTGCGTCAAATATTCAATGGTACGAACTAATTCCTCATAAAGCAACTGTTTTTATACCTTGCTTAGTACGACATGCACAAATGCATCAACCTCGTATGTAACGTCATTTTCATTCCT